AAACAATTGAAGACCTATCCTTTCTTGAATTTATTTCGCCCACTACCTTTCATGCCATAATTTTAAAGAGAGATCATTTATTGTTGCACCATGATTGAGAAAAAGGATGGTCCCCAAAAACCTGTTTGAACTTAGACCATGTAAAAGTCCCATTAGTCATCACACATTTGTGAAATCACATCTTCCCATTTCACCCATCCCTGTGGGGAGCGGTGAGCCACAGCAGTGGCTATGCTTGTGAATTATTTGGTGATTTAACCCCCCAACCCCTTAATGCTGAGTGTCAAGCAGGGGGGCATTAGGTCCCATTTTTAAAGTCTTTGGTATGACCCAACTGGATTTGAACCTTGATCTCCCAGTCTCAGGGCGGACACTCTACAGGTGCTGGCCAGTAAATTAGAATATCATCAAAAGCTTGAAAATATTTCAGTAATTCCATTCAAAACGTGAAACTTGTACATTATATTCATGCAATGCACACAGACCAATGTATTTCCGATGTTTATTACGTTTAATTTTGATATTTATAGGTGACAACCAATGAAAACATCAAATCTGGTATCTCAGAAAATTAGAATATTCTAAAGGCCAATGAAAAAATGTTTGTTTCTCTAATGTTGGCCAACTGAAAAGAATGAACATGAAAAGAATGTGCATGTATAGCACTCAATACTTAGTCGGGGCTCCTTTTGCCTCAATAACTGCAGTAATGCGGCGTGGCATGGACTCGATCAGTCTGTGGCACTGCTCAGGTGTTATGAGAGCCCAGGTTGCTCTGATAGTCGTCTTCAGCTCCTCTGCATTGTTGGGTCTAGCGTATTGCATCCTCCGCTTCACAATACCCCATAGATTTTCTATGGGGTTAAGGTCAGGCGAGTTTGCTGGCCAATCAAGGACAGGGATACCATGGTCCTTGAACCAGGTGCTGGTGGTTTTGGCACTGTGTGCAGGTGCCAAGTCCTGTTGAAAGGTGAAGTCTGCATCCCCATAAAGTTGGTCAGCAGCAGGAAGCATGAAGTGCTCTAAAACTTCCTGGTAGACGGCTGCATTGACCCTGGACCTCAGGAAACAGAGTGGGCCAACACCGGCAGATGACATGGCACCCCACACCATCACTGACGGTGGAAACTTTACACTGGACCTCATGCAACGTGGATTCTGTGCTTCTCCGCTCTTCCTCCAGACTCTGGGTCCTTGATTTCCAAAGGAAATGCAGAACTTGCTTTCATCAGAAAACATAACTTTGGACCACTCAGCATCAGTCCAGTCCTTTTTGTCCTTGGCCCAGGCGAGACGCTTCTTGCGCTGTTTCTTGTTCAAGAGTGGCTTGACACACGGAATGCGACACCTGAATCCCATGTCTTTCATGAGTCTCCTCGTGGTGGTTCTTGAAGCGCTGACTCCAGCTGCAGTCCACTCTTTGTGGATCTCCCCCACATTTTTGAATGGGTTTGTCGTCACAATTCTCTGCAGGGTGCGGTTATCCCTAGAGCTTGTACATTTTTTTCTACCACATTTTTTCCGTCCCTTCGCCTGTCTGTTAATGTGCTTGGACACAGAGCTCTGCGAACAGCCAGCTTCTTTAGCAATCACCTTTTGTGTCTTGCCCTCCTTGTGCAAGGTGTCAATGATTGTCTTTTGGACAGCTGTTAAGTCAGAAGTCTTCCCCATGATTGTGGTGCCTTCAAAACAAGACTGAGGGACCTTTTAAAGGCCTTTGCAGGTGTTTTGAGTAAATCAGCTGATTAGAGTGGCAGCAGGTGTCTTCTATATTCAGCCTTTTCAGAATATTCTAATTTTTTGAGATACCAAATTTGGAGTTTTCATTAGTTGTCACTTATGAATATCAAATTTAAATGTAATGAACATTGGAAATACATTGGTCTGTGTGCATTGCATGAATATAATGTACAAGTTTCACGTTTTGAATGGAATTACTGAAATATTTTCAACCTTTTGATGATATTCTAATTTACTGGCCAGCACCTGTATCATTAGGCCACTGAGAAGGAACAATGTAGTTGTGAATGTGAATTGGTCTTTGTTACTGTCGCACCAATCACCAACCAAAAGTTGTACATTTAAAAATATTCACCAGGAGTTTCATCACAATTTATCCAGTGGTTCATAGGATTTCTTCTTGACGATAGTCATTTAAGACATCTCACATGGGACTGCATCGTCACTTTAAACTATAACCCAACCCAAATAAAAACATCTACGTTAATATAAGAAGTTTCAGCCGGATGCTGTAAGTGAATATTTTATTAATTCAGTGTTATAAATGCTGCAGTCTGTTAAAAAACTGGCCTTATTCATAAGTTGACATTTTGACTAACAGCGTCAGATGGACGGGCAAAAGTTCTGTGGTCAAACGAAAAGTTAAAGGAGCCTCTAAATGAACAGTAGCCAGACTCTCGGGTCTGTGACAGAAGGGAAACAGGGCGCAAAAGAGGAGTAGGACCGTCAGGAAGACAAACCAAACAGAAAGGCTGTCTTGTGGCAGATGCCAGGGAGTGGGCCTGTCAGTCGTCATCGCGTGCCACTTTCCTCGCTCGACACGGTGAAACTGAGGCAATGTACCCTATGAAATATTCATCAAAGTTGTTTTTGCTTAAAATGGAGTGGTGAGAAAGGGGATGGGGTGCACCGCTGTGGATATATGGGAAGCTGCCCAAATGCTTTGGATGTCAGCTTTGCTTAAGGCCTATTTACAAGGGCGCGACAGGGGGACCAGCAGGGGGTCCATTAAATGTTCATATAAATGTACCACTAGCAGAACACTGGTCTGCAATGGCAAAGCCTCCTCACATCCCAAAAACGCTCGGCCAGTGCATCTGTACCCTCTAGATATTACAGACCTCGGACTATTTGGAAACCATTACTTTTCCATTAAATACTCTCTTAGTTTTAGTTTTATTGCAATTGTTGGTCAGGGAAGTAACATCATATTACCCAATGCTTTTTAATACACCTCTAGACTCAGTGTCTATAATTGTATTGCCCAATGGTTCATTGTGTCCATTTTGATGATAGTCACTACCAAAGTTTAGTCATAGTCTACAATGAAATGGCCAGTATACAGAGTTTCATGAATAAAGGAAAACACAGTGATCTAATTAAAGGAAAGGTTTTACAAGAGATTAAATGAAATGGCACACTTACAAGTAAAAAAGGTTTGCCTGAACCACACAGACTTCTACATCCTTAATTTTTTATTATCACTGTAACTAGAGCCAGCTGTGACCTAGCAACCCACCGAGCAAGAAAGGACTGGTTTTATTTATATCTGCATCAGTGGAAAAGAGAAATAATTACCTCCTAATTAAGGCATTAACAGATTCATTTGTGTGCTTCACATGCAGACAGCTTTGTCATTGCCTTCTTTCTTTGTGACGGCGTCCGTTGCTGGGATCTGCATCATGTAGGGGATGTAAATATAGAATATGGTATGAAAACGCTGCAGTGCTTCTGTAGCTGCTGTGTTAGGTTGAATCCTAACACAATAACACCCAGTCCCTTTGTATCAGCATGAAAAGGTCACTTCTGTCACCAGTCTTAATGCAGCACATTCTTCGCCTGATCTGCGGTTTTGATTTTGGCATCTGGAGAATGAAAAAGAACGGCTCTACTTCCAGATGAATGAAGAGACCAGGAGGGAGGAAAATGCCTCATTGTGTGTTCACAACCTCTTGACAGTGTCCGCCTGATGTTTAAATGCAACAAATATTTAACATCCCACACCAAATTAATTTAATCTGTATGAACTTTGAGATTAAAGAAGAAAGACAAGCGTTTGTTCATTTAAAGCCAGCTTCACATTTGGCTGTGACTATTGGTGACTAGTCATTAAAAACAAAAAATACATTATTTTAAACTACAAATGGAGTCATACTAAATTGCAAAGTATGTTTGTGTCACGAGGGCTCACTGTCCCTGGAGGATGGAGTCCCAGGGTTAGCCGAAACCCTAACCCTAACCCTAGAAACTTAAGCTTCAAGTTTCTTGCTGTAATTTATTCATTAAAAAAACCTGAACTATGTATCAGTTTGTTCAATTTACATCCGTTTTCGTCAGCTTGGTTATCTGCCCCTCCTAAAGTTGCCCCAGCTTTCCTGCATTACACAGGGCAACTAGATTAAGAAGAAATATTAAAAAACATTAATTGCTAGATTTTCTTTTCAAGTTGAAAAAAACAAAGACTAGTGCTGTGTTGAAAAAATCGATTCTCCGATTCTGAATCGATTCTTATATAAATTCATAAAGATCGATTCATACGTCCAAAGATCGATTTAACCATTTAACAGTGTCTGGCTCTTGTACAGCTAAAATATAAAAGAAGTTCAGAGGCGTGGGTGATGATAAAGGGTTAATATGGTGCAGCAACCTTCTCCCGCCCACCGTCATGTGACTGAATTCACGCATGCGTGCTAGGTGTGAAGATATTTTTTTAAAATGGCGTCGAATACTAGCAGCGACGTTAGCCATGCGCTCGATTTGAAAACACCAAAAACTCTTAAAGCTGCGGTCTGGCAGCATTTTGGTTTCAGAACGGACAAAGAGAAAGGTCAGCTTGACAAAAGCAAAGTGATTTGCAATGCATGCCAAATGGAGGTGAAATATTGCGGAAATACAACCAATCTCAACAATCGCATTTTGCGACATCACCAAGATCTTGCGTGCAAGCCGTCCACTGGTCTGCAGCAGATGAAATTCAAGGAATCACTACAACTACCGGCTAATTCTACATGTTCTCACAAAATAACTGAGGTGATAGCGGGCTTCATTTGCAAGGATATGCGCCCATATTCTGTCGTTGAAAACGAGGGCTTCAAGCGGCTAATGAAAGTAGCGGAGCCAATGAAAAAAGCTACTGAAGTCATGTCAGAAGAAAAGTCACCAACTCTCAGTGATGGCACCCCTGCGTGCTCTGCTGCTGAAGGAGATGACCAGCCTCCCAGAAGACTCCAAAGTTGTTAAGGATATGAAGAATGAGATCAAGAAAAACCTGAGCACCAGGTAGGCCTATTTTGTGTGTGTGAGAGAGAAAATAGGTTATATTGTGTATTTAATTAAACAATTTAAGAAAATATTATCTCCCTAATTGCATAGATTTAAATGTGTGACATTTATATTTCAGGTATGTGAATCAGACGGCCATGCTGCATGCCGCCTCAGCTGTTGATCCACGCTTCAAAGCCCTGCCATTTCTGGGTGAGGAGGAGCGAGAGCACACCTTCTCCAGGCTCCAGGCTGAGGCAGTGGGTGGGATGGAGGAAGAAGCATCTAATGTAAGTAATAAGAAGCCTTGTGAAAAAAAAATCCAAGCAAATACTACCTAAACTCTTACCTATCAGGGAGAAGTTGTTTGTGTTTATTCCAATTATAAATGTGCAGTTTCTTACTGTTCAGAAACATATTTTTAAATATTTAAATATTTTATCATATTTTAAATCTCAGCCTGAGCAGGCAGGCATTCATAGATGATAGAATATAGTCCGATTAATCACACAGTGGGGAAGTTAATTTGCTACAGCAGCACATATCCTTGGAGAAAACGAGAAATAATTTTACACTTAAATACACAAAGCAGTAAGCTATTGTAACCTTCAAAAAATACACAACTCTAAGAACCAAGACTGAACACTTTTCCTGATATCCAAGTGGTTGTCTGACTTGATAGTTTAGATCAAAATGACAGATTTATGTTATGTTAAGTTATTCATAGCCAAACCGAAGCCTATTGTTGCACAACAACACATATAAGTATTTCTTCTCTCTCACGCAGCAAGATGAAGTTGATGAAATGGAGGAAGAGGAGGAAAACAACCCCCCTGCACCTAACCCCAAGCAATCCAGTGCTTTGGAGTCTCTCCTTGGGGAAGCCTACATACCAAGAGAGGAGAGGGGACATGCAAAGAAAACTCTTGCAGAGGTGGCAGAAGATGAGATCAAGAGGTACAGGGCGAGGAGACCTGCAGGACTGCAGGACAATCCTCTGGTCTGGTGGAGAGAGAATGAAAAAGAGTATCCTCTTTTGGCTCGCATGGCTAAGCGATATCTCTGTGTCCCTGGGACCAGTGTCGCATCTGAGAGGGTTTTTTCAACTGCAGGTGATATAATCACTGCAAAAAGAAGCTGTCTCACCCCTGGTCATGTGAATCAGCTACTTTTCCTGCAGAAGAATCTTACCATTCCCAAGTGATGTTCATAAGAGGACAGTTTACACAGTCTGTCTTTAGTCAAGTTTATGTTCCTGTTCAATTTTGTTGGTACATTAATATGAATGTTTCTGGATACTTGAAGTGTTTAAGTTTTTGCACAAGACTGTGAAACAGTTGTTTAAGGTTCTGTACATTTTAATTTCTATTTGCACAAAGTAAAACCAAAACAGTTAATTTTAAGCTTTCTGTTTCTGTTTACATTTGCACTGGCAAATAATATCTTTTTTCATATGGTGAAACTTATTTGAATAAAAATGGTATTTGCTTTCAACAGCAATAGCATTTGGCTGAATTCCTAACATCTGAATTTAATGATGTCCTAGAAAACACTGGAAACACTTGACATTCTTGGAGAGGAACTGGTGCTTACAACCATTTTTAATAGCCAATATTTCATTAATGTATCATTGAATGTCAATATTATCAATATACTACACAATGGAATTAAGGTAACTGCAAAAATGTTTTTAAATTGATGACCTGAATTGAATCGATATCGGATCGGAATCGATCGGATTAGATAGTGATAATCGATTCTAAATCTCAAGAATCGGAATCGAATCGATTCTGGAAATTTGAATCGATACCCAGCACTAACAAAGACGTGGTCAAGGAAATCAATGACGGATCTATTCAACTATCTATTCAACTGGCACTGTCGGTACATAATTAAATTAGTTGATGTAAAGAATCAGTTTAATCGCACAATCATTTCATATAGTTGTTATGGCATGTCCTAATTTGGGTTTGACTTTGTTTTGTCAGTCAGTGTGAATTTATTTATGATATAAAAAACAACAAAGCTGTTTACAGTTTAGTGGATGGAACCAAAACAATGTATCAAGGGAGAAAAACAACAAATCCATCTAGCAGTAAAACCGCATCTGAAACTCTGTCAGCTACTTGTCTATCCAAAGGACAAGACAGATACAGACGAAAAAAGCAAAGTCATCTACAAAATTTCTTGCAAATCATGTGAAAAAAACCATACATTAGGAAAAACAGAAAAAAGAAAAAGAAACAAGGGGATGTTTCACCAGAACAAAAAAGGATACCGCTGAACAGAAGACCAAGAAATCAGCCATCACAGACCACTGCAGGAGGAAGAACCACATCATGGACTAGGATAAGAGCAGAATTATCACGTCAGAAACCAATAAATTCAACTGATAGATCAGAGAGTCCATCAAGATCCAGAAGCGTGCAAGCGACACCATCAAGCGAGATGAGGGGGCACTGATGAGGGACTATGTTCTATCTCATGTCGAAGAGTTTAAGTATCTCAGGGTCTTGTTCACGAGTAAGGGAAAAATGGAGCATGAGATCAATAGGCTTCTGCAGTGATGTGGGCGCTGTACCGATCTGCTGTGGTGAAGAGAGCTGAACCGGAAGATCGCGATTGCAGATGCAAGCGGCCAAAATCAGTTTTCTCTACAGGGTGGCTGGGCTCTCCCTTAGAGATATAATGAGAAGCTTGGTCATCAGGGAGGGGCTCGGAGTAAAGCCGTGGCTCCTACACATCGAGAGGACCCAGTTGAGGTGGCTCGGGCATCTGGTCAGGATGCCTCATGGATGCCTCCCTGGTGAGGTTTTTTGGGCACCTCCAACCAGGAAAAGACCTAAAGCAAGACCCAGGACTTGCTAGTTTCTCAGCTGGCCAGGGAACACCTTAGGATTCCCCCTGGAGGAGCTGGTACAAGTAGCTGGGCAGAAGGAAGTCTGGGCCTCTCTGCAAAGGCCACTGCCCCCGCAACCCGTCTCCGGATAAGCGTGAGTGAGTGAGTGAGTGAGTGAGTGAGTGAGTGAGTGAGTGAGTGAGTGAGTGAGTGAGTGAGTGAGTGAGTGAGTGAGTGGGATGATGGATGGATGAGTGTCCGCCCTGGGACTGGGAGATCGGAGTTCAAATCCAGTCAGGCCGTAACAAAAACTTTAAAAATGGGACCCAATGACTCCCTACTTGACACTTAGCATTAAGAGGTTGGATGTGGAGGGTTAAACCACCAAATAGTTAATGTGCGCAGTCACAGCTGCAGCTGACCGCTCTCCGGTCAAATGCAGAGATGTAATTTCACCCGTGTGTGATGATGACTATGGGAATTTAACTTAGAAGCAAGGACTGGAGGTATTTCTTGACATTTTACACACAGTTTAGCTGTCTTTGTGCAATCTAATGAGGAATTCAGAGCAAATGGAAAAACATCTGGAGAACCACAAACAAAAGTGTTTAATCAAGTGTAATCTAGGATAGAGAATGAAACCACAAAAAAGTAAGACACATTAATATTGGATTATGACCCCAAGATACACTAGACAAATATTCAAATGTTAATAGCAAATTTTCATTGTCCCTACAATGTTTTGCATGTTCTAACCACCCTCCATACTGGGGAACAAATACAGCACATGCTCACAAAGACACAACCACCTACACCCACAATTACACCATGTTCCAGGCCCCATCCTGACAAAACTCCCTTGAATTACACCAGAATGCACAACATTAGCAGCAGGATTGGGTCATAGTCTAGGATTGAGGTCAGTATGGTCGGCCCATTTTCAAAAGCTTGGTGACTGAGCCACACTGCTCAGCATTAAGGAATACTCCACTGCTCCTCTCCTCTCAGAACCAAGATATGCAGCCACCGAACTTGTGCTACAGAAGTTTTGTGCATGTTTGAGCCATTACGCTCCATCGCACGTAACAGAGAGGCCATTGTGTTCTTAAGACTTGGCTAAAATCCTCACTAAGATCATGGAAAGAACTTCCGTATTCTTAGCCTGGCAAGCCAGACTAAATAAATGTATTATTTAGTCGCTCGGTTGTGGGGCGGGTTCTACCGTTGTCTTTCAAATGATCTCCGCATTCCACTGGACAATGAATGTGACATACTCTTGTTTCACTCTGTTGCATCATCCCACCCACCAGGCATATAGAGTGCCCTGATTGGCCCACAAAGCGGATAAAGCTCTGTGATTTGTTCACTAAGCAGATAGAGCACTATGATTGGCCCACCATTATGGACCAGTCAGAGCTCTTTATGTGTTTGAAACCCCTTTAGAGAGCTGTGATTGGCTAGCCAGAGTCCTGGTAGGAGCTGCTGAGGTTCCAATGGAGCATGCCTAGACCATTCTTTGCAAAGCAAGAATTTGGTCTAGTTCACTAGGCTACCGTATTCTGGCTAACTTTACATCAAGAGAGGGTCTTTGCATTCTGCAAAGGGAGTAAATAAATGAATTAGTACTTTTTTCGGGGGGGGGGGGCTTTGTAATGTTTGAGTTGGTGCTGCTAAGAAAACAGAAATGTTTGTGATTTTTAAATTAGTAACAAAGTAAAACCTATCAAGCAAATCAAACATTTCTATTTTCATTTCACGTCTCCTAGACCCATTGCCATCACTGCTCGCAGAAGTAAAAATAAAATCATTCCATTTCTTGTCCATATGTATTTCAATGGTGTTTTTATTAAAAGATGGGGTACTGGAGTTTGTCTTATGATTCACATCCTATGAAGCAGCACAAAGATAAGCTAGGCACATAGTGAAATCTAATCCGAACTCAATTGTTTTTTCTCCTTTTTTGTCTATGGAAATGACTAGCTCCTTATCAGCAGAGGAGGTTATTTGTGCAGATTCTCATTGTGGCTTAGTGAAGGGACTCAATCACTGCTGCCCTGCGATAGGCCTTACTTTCGTCCTCTCCCTTTCTCATCTTTTTATCTGAAAGAGCGGAAATGAAAGGATGGTATCTGGAACTCTCCACATCCTCGGTTCAGGAGATGGAGAGTGACGGACATTTTCTTTTAGGCTTTGGCTGTCAGATAAAGAAAAAACGTGGTTTATAAATCTGTGCTCAGAGAGAAATATAGTGGCGGCTAGGAACTCTAGACAAGAGTAGACTCAATCAGAGAGTATTATGAGGTCATTTGTGTTGTGACAGCTATAGTTACAACTCAGGAATAACCAAGAATCGAGCGTTTAGCATAACTCAGTTAGGGAACAGTCTGGAAGGGTTGTAATGTACAGAGTTTGGTAAAAATGTATTCAACATTATTCAATATAACTAAGAACAAAATGTAGTCTTATGCTACAACTTTTGTAATCTGTCTTGCAACTTCTGCTTCATACGCTATCCCAATGAAACTTTAAAAAACAGTTTTTTATAACTAATTTGTTTCAAGAATAGATCATCTACTTACAAAGATGAAAACAAATATGAAAAGTTGAAAAATGTATACTGCAAAAAAAAAAAAAGTAATCAAGTATGTTTGGAACCAAGCATGTTACCAACAGCAAGGATGGATTTTCAGTACCAAATAACTGATGTTTCAGCTTTTTAGGAGATGGTATCCAGTATCTAATGTTTTAAAGGTGCAATATGTGAGATTCTACAGTGAAATAATGGCAAAACAGTCTAAGGGCTCAATCAAGTTGAAAGAAAGGTTGCATTGAAACAAATGTCCTCTTTAGCTGCCTGGGGGTTGTCAGTTTTTCTACTTAAAAAAAAAGAAAAGAAAGAGTGATGTGGTTACTCACCGATTCTGCACTGAGCTAAAGCTCCAGCGCTGCCATTTATAATTTGACACCAGCAAGCAATAAGCTCCATAGTTGTTTAAAGAACTGAAGCCAGGAAACCAGAGCGACCCAGAAGTTATTTCTTGTACCCCTAATAAGCCACGGCATCTTTTTGTTTAACTCTAATAACTCTAATATTGGGTGAAGCCGGCTAGAGGCTAGCATTGACCTAACAATGCTAACAGTGAATAAGAAGTAAATAGTCGACTCTAATACATCGCAAGATACTATTTGAATAATTAACAACTCAATATTTAGGTGAAATATATGTATGACCTAAATAATGAGTCAATCATGGAGTTTAACTATCTTTAAAGGTAAAGTTAAAGTCCTATAGTCATCATCACACGAGTAAAATTCATCTCCGAATTTGACCCATCCCCGTCGGAAGTGGTGAGCTGCAGCAGTGGCCACGCTCAGGAATTATTTGGTGGTTTAACCCCCCAGTCCAGCCCCTTAATGCTGAGTGTCAAGCAGGGAGGCACTGGGTCCCATTGTTAAAGTCTTTGGTATGACCCAACCGGGATTTGAATCCCGATCTCCCAATCTCAGGGCGGACACTACTTTAATGAGTTGTTCTAAACTATAACAGCAAGACGGCAGATTCCTTTAATGCTGAAGGCAGACTACCATAAAAGGTGTAGTAAGTGCTCTCTACCATATAAACCCAAGAGTGATGACACCAGATATAACTACTACTAATAACTACTTATCAACTTATTGTGTATGACTCATCTTGGCACTGATACGTAACTGGCAACAGCCACGAAACCCACAGAACAGCAGTGAGAAAGTAACTTTTTATTAAGAAAAATGCTCTGCAGTGCCCATATTTGACCACAGGATGTCATTCCTACTTTGTTTTTACATACGGCACCTTCAAATTAGGGCTGGACAATAAATCAAATATTTATTGTTATCGAAATTTCGGACTCTTATTGAGATCATTTTTCCCATGTCCAAAAATTTGATAATAAAAAATGAAAAGATGTGTGTAGGTTGGCAACATTTGTGTCCCTATAAGGAGCTGTACCCCCTTGTGTCATGTTAAAATGTGACTCAACATAACATGTGACAGCCTCATCTAGAAGACAACTTCTTTTTCTGCGCTTAACTGTAGTTATCGTCCCTTTATCGTTATCGAGGTGAAATCCTCAATATATCAAGATATTGATTTAAGGCCATATAGCCCAGCCCTACTTCAAATCTAAAAAAGTAAGCATCATTTTTTTACAACATTTTGTAATTACAGAACCAAACAAAGGGCAATGGCATAATAATAGGCTTTGTTGGGAGATATACTTGGTTAGAAATAAGTATTTCTGTAAAAAAAAAAAATATTTTTCTTGGTGAATCAAAGGTTTCGTGAGTGAAATGACCTTTGAGGTATGATATTTAGATGTCAGTGAATGGATTTAATGTTTAGCCCCCTTTCCCTTTCATTTTTTTTGAAGTTTTAATTAGCTGTCTAGTTTTGAGACCTTGATATAAAAAGAGCTTATTATGATAAAAATTTTGATTTTAATACTTAAACAGTTTAGACATAGCTTTTGATTCCAAATGAATTAATAAAGTTCTGGTTTTACTTTGTTAGATGCTGAAATATAACTAAATATTTAATCAAATTAATATGGTTTAAGACCCTAAGAGCCCCCTTCGGCACTGTCACTGCCAGAATCCATTTAAATGAAATATACATATGGAAAGCCATTACATGCAGGTTTCACCAGATGTCAATCACCATCATGTTTATCATTGAATCACTCAATTATACAAATGAAGGTACAAAGATTGTTAGAGCTTACCATTACATTGTCAGCTCGTGTCAGGGTGTCCCAGAGTGTGTGCTGAAATTTGGTCAGATCCATTTCCCGACCACCTCCCATCAAAACCTGGTGACGGGAACAGGAATTTGAGTGGTTCCATCTTTACATACTGTGACATATGAATTCAATAGTGATTATTTATCCAAAAAAGTGAATAATTTACTGGAATTCTACATTAGACAATTTTTTAATGCACCCTGTTTCCAGTGAAACCATTTATGCATCAGGATTAGGGCTGGGCGATATGGCCTAAAACCAATATCAGGATATATTGAGGATTTCACCTCGATAACGATAAATGGACGATAACTATAGAATATGCAGAAACAAAAGTTGTCCACTAGATGGGGCTGTCACGTGTATTACGTTGAGTCACATTTTTACGTGACTCAAGATGGTACAGCTTCTTAAAGGGACATGAATGTTGCTAACCTACACACATCTTTTCATTTTTAAATCAAATGTATTGACATGAGAAAAATTATGTCAATAAAGAAATAAATAAAGAATTTTTGATAACAATTTTTTTTTATTTATTGCCCAGCCCTAATCAGGATGAATATATTGTCCATAATTTTTATTAAACCACTGGGAAAGGACATGGTCCATATTAGTAGAAAAACGTGGCTTGTTTTCACTTTTTCAGCCGCCTAGTGGACGGCTGCAGTATGTGTATAAACTACATATAAATGAATAAAACATTAGTCTCATTAAAGGAAGTACATCTTATTTTTACCTTGCTAACTTTTAACTGTTTCCTGTAATAAGTTATTTGCTAATTGAAAAAATATATATGATTTTGTTTGGGGGAGTAACTGGGACTTCCATGTCCACAGTGTCCCTAGTGTGTTCACACTGGTTCTAAAAAAACATGGCACAACTGGGTTATTATGGAAGACCCATCCAGATGTGTCTATTGTCTTTAGCAAATAGCAAACTTGCTTTAAAAATGTCAATGCTAATAGTTTCTTTTGGAAAACTTTTAAGTTTTCAAAATCTCACATAATATTTAGTCGTCTCATAAATCTATCAAGCCAAGCTCAATTTCAATGAATTTGCTCAACAGTGTCTGATGAAAAACTTTAGATCGTTAAAACAGTAGTAGTTTATCTAAATTGCCACAAAGTTTTTTAACGAAATGATGCTCTGACATGCTTTAGCTCATTTAGCTAATGGTCCAGTTTAGATGATTTTACCTACTTTTTAATCATAAATTGTAACTAAATTCTGACCTTTAACTCTACAAGCCTTGGTAATTTAGTGGACAACTGAATCCAAATGTTTTACATAGTATTGAGGAAAGATGGATAAAAATATGAAAAAAATATAAACTTTTGTCGTTTTCAGGGGTCAAGCTTACAACTGGTAACGCACTTAGCTTGTCTGACGTGTCATTAAATTAAGTCATCCTCTTTTTAAATCAGCTTTAATAGCAATGAACTTTAGGTCTTTTGAAAGCAAATATTCTTTGGGAAGACACTATTTTTTGTTTATTCATTTGTACGCTGACTGCATGTCTTAATTCACCAGAAAACACACGTATCACTCCTCCTGTCTCGGCGAACAAGGACTCCCTTGGGGGAAAACAACAGACAAGAGAATTAATCTGCAGCCTTTTGCCATTTTAAGTGAAAGTCAGTCAGGCGGTGCATACCAGCCAATGCCCATCAGTCACAAGGCCTTTGTGCAAGGCCAGAAAAATAAATAAAATGTGACGCTGCTGCACACTGAAAGGTAAAAGATGGTTAAAGAAGGACGCTGGTAGAGTGTTCACTGTTTATTCATTGGAAAATGGTGTCACCTGGAAGCCATTTTGGAAGCAATACATCACAAGCAGGCACTGACCTTTACATGCTACACACAATAAGACTAAGCTATAAACACAAGAAAAGATTTGAACATGTGGACTGGAAGGAAAGTCCACTCAATCATGTTGAGCTTAAATGCCAGAAAGTTCATCTGTAGATGGGTAGTTTTGTCAAAGCTGGATTCAAATTGGTTGCTACAGAAAAGATGAGGCAAATACAAGTCTTTGCTTGAGGCGGATGTCTGCTCATTTGTTTTAGAGGAGTCTTTATTTACTCTTTCTTGCCTGCAACATCTTTGCTTAAAGTCAAAGGGCTGATGGATAGTTATTAACCAAAGAAGATGCTTTAAACAAGTTGAACTTTTTTCTGATCTATTGGTAAGAAATAAGGTTCTTCAAAGGCAGAGTTTCAGCTTTCAATTCTAGGTTCTTTTTAAAGAGTTCCTGATAGTCACGTTCACTTAATTAAGTTGAACCCAAACATTTGCAGAAACATTTCAAAGAAGACAGATGAACGAATCACAACTGAAGGGCTGCTAGTGAATTATTTCAGCTTTTTATTTCAAATCGTCATTTTTTTTGTGTTCTTCACAGAAATATGTGGAACATTTTAAACAAACTAAATAAATGTGAAAACGTTCTTTCTGCACTGTATCCGCTAAAGAAACTTTTCAACAAGGATTTTCTCAGTTTTCATTTTTGATGTGTCCTACTTTGGATCATGTGAGTGAAAAACCATCAAGTATCTATCCAATACCAAGGCTGCACACGACGCTAGTAGATTTTGCGCTTTATTCTGCAATAACTGTAAACTATAGGTTACATGCAGACGACAAACGCGGTCCTTCTGCAGCCATTGGACAAATCTGCAAGCTTAGAGCTCAGCTAGCATTTCACAACATCACAACTTCCATGTTCCAGAATCTCAGCAGAGAGCATTCAGGAGCTTCAGGCATGGGCTGCAGATCGAAGAAAATGTGTGTGATCTGGAGTTTCAAGGAAGATAAGCTGACTATCGCCAGCTCTGCTAACGGAGATGGCTAAAAGAACACTAAAAGTCAACAACTGTTTTTCTGTCAGACTAGAATGAACATGTTTTAATTTTCAGTTATATTTGTTTGCAACATTCTTACCAGTTTTGTTGTTTGTTTTTTAGGTTCAGTTGTGCTTTCTGCTTGTTTTGTCAAAAATGTCTTCCCTTTAGGGATGCACAATATATCGGCATCAATATCGATATCGGCAGATGTTAGTCATTTTTTTTACTTATCGTATTGGTCCAATAAATAAAACTGGGCCGACATTAACAACCAATATTTTTTCCATCTCGTTTCTATTTGTTTATCAGTTTTAGAGGGTGATGGGGAGTGATGTGTATTTGTTTAGTCATGTGACAGTGATGGTAATCATCCATCCATCCACCCATCCATCCATTTTCATCCGCTTATCTGGAGTCAGGTCGCGGGGGCAGTAGCCTAAGTCGAGAGGCCCAGACATCCCTCTCCCCAGCCACTTGGGCCAGCTCCTCCGGGGAATCCCAAGGTGTTCCCTGGCCAGGTGAGAGACATAGTCCCTCCACCGTGTCCTGGGTCTCCCTTTAGGTCTTCTCCCGGTTGGACGTGCCCGGGAAACCTCACCAGGAAGCATCCAGGAGGCATCCTGACCAGAAACCTGAGCCACCTCAACTGGCTCCTCTCGATGTGGAGGAGCAGCGGGTCTACTCCGAGCCCCTCCCGAATGACTGAGCTTCTCACCCTATCTCTACGGGAGAGCCCAGCCGCTCTTCTGAGAAAACTCATTTCGGCCGCTTGTATCCGTGATCTCGTTCTTTCGGTCACTACCCAAAGCTCATGACCATAGGTGAGGGCAGGAACGTAGATCGACCGGTAAATCGAGAGCTTCGCCTTCTGACTCAGCTCTCTCTTCACCACGACAGACCGGTACAACGCCCGCATCACTGCAGATGCAGCACCAATCTGCCTATCGATCTCACGCTCCAGTTTTCCCTCACTCGTGAACAAGACCCCGAGATACTTAAACTCCTCCACTTGGGGCAGCACCTCATCCCTGACCCCGAGAAGGCATTCTACCCTTTTCCAAATCAAGACCATGGTCTCAGATTTAGAGGAGCTGATTCTCATCCCAGCTGCTTCACACTCGGCTGCGAACCGCTCCAGCGAAAGCTGAAGATCATGTTCTGATGAAGCCAACAGGACCACATCATCTGCAAAAAGCAGAGACCTGATCCTCAGGCCACCAAAACGGAAGCCCTCCACACCTTGGCTGCACCTAGAAATCCTGTCCATAAAGGTTATGAACAGAATCGGTGATCGATGGTAATCATCTCTGTAGGGTAAATGTGTGTGTACATAATAATGTAAATTCAGCTTTAATCATTTTCACTCTATACAAAATCTGACAATTTTAGAAGCAAATCGGTATCGGCAAATATCGGTTAGATTAGAAACCTACTTGTGAATTGTAAAACAAATGCTTGGTCCCATATGAATTACATAAAGAAACATTCCTCTGCCACATATTTAGTAATACTAGTTTAATCAATCTCAGAGCTAAACATTAATAGTTGTAGGTAATCAAAATAGTTGTAATTAATAAACTGCCCCTTCCTAAATGCTTTTAATGACTCATCTTGGTGGATTTAAGCAGCAGAAAATGTATTTAAACTATAGTTTCATTCAGCTCAATGTGTAAGGAATTTAAAACAACAATTCTGATGAATAAGCTCTCTCCTCCTCATATAGTCAAACTAACAGAGGCTGATAAAACTGTATGCAAAGATATTACCTTACAAGAGAGAGAGAGAGAGGAGATCAAATAACACAGTTACATATTGAGGCTATGTTATTTGATAGATCCAGCTAGTTCCAGAAGCACATCTTCACAAATACCACTTTTATCTACCTGGCATGAGAATATTGGGTTTTCAGTCAGTTATGAAATGTATCGCCTCGCAAATATGTGGAAACAGCACAAACAAAGAGATGAGACATCTATTACCATGAACCCACACAAGTGAAAATATTGTCTCCCACACAAGCATAGACTATCTAAAAAAAGGAAAAGAAAAAAAAAGAGAAGCAAGCAGACTAATCTCTACTGGAAAGTGAAGCCAATAAGGAAGTGACTTAATCTGCATTCTCTCTTAATCGCTATAAAGTCTTTAGGATTAGAACAATAAAAGAAAATATCTAATTAATCACTTAATCTTGGGAAAGCCTTTTTCTGGTGGGTTTTGAGTTTG